GGCTGCTGGGACTCACGGAGGCTCGCTGTATCGAGATAGGAGTTGCATTTCTTGATGGAGACGTGTGCTATCTTGTCGGGCCTCTGGTGTGTCGCCTGCGTGATGCGCTGCCACCAATGCTTGTGAGGCCCCCGAGGGTAGAGCCGAAACCTTCCGCGCCAGCCCTTGAGCACGAGCCCGTTATCCGTCTCGATCTCCAACTGGCCACCCGTGAGCAGGAGACAGTAGAACAGGGCCGCGAGCTCTGGGCCCAGGTCTGCATGGGCGCCGTCGGCTGTTTCGAAGAGGCCTGGGAAGGCGGTTTCGTCTGGGAGATTTCCGGAATCGAGAGCATGTCCCCGTCCAGCCCGTGCAATTCTGACATCGGCTGGGCCCGCGGACCCGTCGAGGTAGGCCCTGCACGCCATGATGTGGGGGCCTTGGATGGAGGAGAAGGTGGCGATGGTAGGGACTGGGCCTGGCGTGTTTACGCTGAAGACGGCCTGGGGCTCGTCCCAATCGGGGTCTGAGGGACCTCGTTGATCCTTGCGGGGTCTGGTATACTACCCTAGGAAGCGAGCGAGCCGAAGCATGAGCACAGCGAGGCCCAGCCAAGGCCCTGAATGATATCCAGCCTGAGCTAAATTCGCTTCAAGTTTATGAAACTCTCTCCATCGAGTCCATAAGCTGCCAGCAGCCATAATGACTGAAGCCAACTCGTTGTCAAGGCTCAAGCACCAGCGCCCAGTTGCCAGGAGGAGGCCCGCGACGATGACAGCGATTCGGAAGGAGCTCGGGCGTGAGTCGAGCCACTGCATGATGCAGAACCCCAGGGACAAACAGCGCTGGTTTTGTTCTCACTGTAAACTTAGGACCCGCGAGAGTCTCAGTCAAAAGCTGGTTGCGAGAGAACCCTTGCCGAAGCTGGACTTTTGTTACCTAACATCGAAGACTGATAGGTTTCTAATGGGCTAAAAAGAGAGCAGCACATTACTCCACAGGGGGGTCTGGGCAGCCGTTGGGGGGCCGTTGGGGTTTGCCGGGGGGGATCGTTTATCGCACACAGTCACACACTTCGTGCTTTTCGATTTCCCAGAACTCCATTCCCGGGCCACATTCTGAATGCCCGGAGCCAACTGTACGCCACTTCGTGCTCTTCGACTTCCCAGAACTCCATTCCCGGGCCACATTTTGGATGCCCGGAGCCAACTGTAGGCCACTTCGTGCTCTTCGACTTCCCAGAACTCCATTCCCGGGCCACATTTTGGATGCCCGGAGCCAACTGTAGGCCACTTCGTGCTCTTCGAGTTCCCAGAACTCCATTCCCGGGCCAGAGCCAACTGTAGGCCACTTCGTGATCTTCGAGTTCCCAGAATCCATTCCTGGGCATGATTTTGAATGCCCGGAGCCAACTGTAGGCCACTTCGTGTTCTTCGAGTTCCCAGAATTCCATTCCCGGGCCACATTTTGAATGCTGAGGCAGGCTGAGGCTGAGGCTGAGGCAGGCTGAGGCTGAGGCTGAGGCTGAGGCTGAGGCTGAGGCTGAAGGCAGACTGAGGCTGAGGCTGAAGCAGGCTGAGGCTGAGGCTGAGGCAGGCTGAGGCTGAGGCTGAGGCAGGCTGAGGCTGAGAGGCTGAGGCTGAGGCTGATGCAGGCTGAGGCTGAGGCAGGCTGAGGCTGAGGCCGAGGCTGAAGGCAGACTGAGGCTGAGGCTGAAGCAGGCTGAGGCTGAGGCAGAGGCAGGCTGAGGCTGAGGCTGAGGCAGGCTGATGCTGAGGCAGGCTGGCTGAGGCTGAGGCTGAGGCTGATGCAGGCTGAGGCTGAGGCAGGCTGAGGCTGAGGCCGAGGCTGAAGGCAGACTGAGGCTGAGGCTGAAGCAGGCTGAGGCTGAGGCTGAGGCAGGCTGAGGCTGAGGCTGAGGCTGATGCTGAGGCTGAGGCTGAGGCTGAGGCTGAGGCTGAGGCCGAGGCTGAAGGCAGATTGAGGCTGAGGCTGAAGCAGGCTGAGGCTGAGGCAGAGGCAGGCTGAGGCTGAGGCTGAGGCAGGAGGCTGGCTGATGCTGAGGCAGGCTGAGGCTGAGGCTGAGGCTGATGCAGGCTGAGGCTGAGGCAGGCTGAGGCTGAGGCCGAGGCTGAAGGCAGACTGAGGCTGAGGCTGAAGCAGGCTGAGGCTGAGGCTGAGGCAGGCTGAGGCTGAGGCTGAGGCTGAGGCTGAGGCAGGCTGAGGCTGAAGGCTGAGGCTGAGGCTGAAGCAGGCTGAGGCTGAGGCTGAGGCAGGCTGAGGCTGAGGCTGAGGCAGGCTGATGCTGAGGCTGAGGCTGAGGCTGAGGCTGATGCAGGCTGAGGCTGAGGCAGGCTGAGGCTGAGGCCGAGGCTGAAGGCAGGGCTGAGGCTGAGGCTGAGGCTGAGGCAGGCTGAGCTGAGGCAGGCTGAGGCTGAGGCTGAGGCTGAGGCTGAGGCTGAGGCAGGCTGAGGCTGAGGCTGAGGCTGAGGCTGAGGCTGAGGCAGGCTGAGGCTGAGGCTGAGGCTGATGCAGGCTGAGGCTGAGGCAGGCTGAGGCTGAGGCCGAGGCTGAAGGCAGACTGAGGCTGAGGCTGAAGCAGGCTGAGGCTGAGGCTGAGGCAGGCTGAGGCTGAGGCTGAGGCAGGCTGAGCTGAGGCAGGCTGAGGCTGAGGCTGATGCAGGCTGAGGCTGAGGCAGGCTGAGGCTGAGGCCGAGGCTGAAGGCAGACTGAGGCTGAGGCTGAAGCAGGCTGAGGCTGAGGCTGAGGCAGGCTGAGGCTGAGGCTGAGGCAGGCTGATGCTGAGGCAGGCTGAGGCTGAGGCTGAGGCTGATGCAGGCTGAGGCTGAGGCAGGCTGAGGCTGAGGCCGAGGCTGAAGGCAGACTGAGGCTGAGGCTGAAGCAGGCTGAGGCTGAGGCTGAGGCAGGCTGAGGCTGAGGCTGAGGCAGGCTGATGCTGAGGCAGGCTGAGGCTGAGGCTGAGGCTGATGCAGGCTGAGGCTGAGGCAGGCTGAGGCTGAGGCCGAGGCTGAAGGCAGACTGAGGCTGAGGCTGAAGCAGGCTGAGGCTGAGGCTGAGGCAGGCTGAGGCTGAGGCAGGCTGAGGCTGAGGCTGAGGCAGGCTGAGGCTGAGGCTGTGACTGCGACTGCCGTTGCCACTGCGACTGTCATCGCGAATGCGACTACGACTGCGAGAACAGCAGAATTCTACAACTGGATTCTCATCCGAATCTTAAGGGGAATGCTTCCAGATATGCTCCTACACATCGATGTTAGGTTGCTTTGCCGGGATAATTTCAGAATGCAACACATACCTCCTTATTCCGCCAGCTGCGTACCCCTCCTTAAACTTTGGAGGTAAGCACGTGCACCAGTCTCATTCGCTTCTTACGATGAATGGTCAGTTGTGGTGCTCGAAGTGTGCGCGGCTTGGTAGCCTCACCGGCACAGGAGGCGGGGAGCTACACCAGCTACCAACCCAGTGCCCAGGTGGTGTGGGCACCGACAGTAGGAAGGACGCTTTGAGGCGGCTGACGGATCTCCAGACCCCGAATGCCACAGCCAAGTGTTGGCCTTCAGGGGACCCCGTCAGGCCCGGCCTAAGCCCGCAGAGCCAGGCGGGCCACCCTGGCCAAGTGAGTTGGTGGGTCCTCGGTCGCGGCGTGTCGAGCCGCCACGACCGCGCCCCCTCGGCGGGGCGATCCTCCTCCTCCCCCATCCTCCCTCCTCCTCCTCCCTCCTCCTCCTCCTCCTCCTCCTCCTCCTCCTCCTCCTCCTCCCCCTCCTCCCCCTCCTCCTCCTCCTCCTCCTCCTTCTCCTCTGGCGACTTCGTGGGCCGATTTGGTTTTGATTTCGTCTTGCACCCAAGGCGGAACGAAGGCGAAACGAGGGAAAACGATCACGAAACGGAAACGGGAAAATCATGCTGAGCTCGAGCCTTGCATTAGGCCGCCGTCGATCCACAACCGTTCGATGTGAGCACTATTCCTGTCTCCCCCGAAGATAGCTGGGGAGGCGCCCTGCCCCTTCCGCGTACGGTTTTTTTTCACACACGCGCAGGATTTCAAAAGTTGGCCTTCCCTGTGGCTGTTTCGATCAGAGCGTCTGCGAGGTCTCAAACTGGTGCTGCCGCTGCAGCGTGTTTTAGGATCGGCGCTTTGCTGTCGTCGTTCCGAGTGGCTCTCTCGCCGCAGCGCGGGCGCGGGCTACTATTTTCTGGTTCCGAGTCGATCCTCATCGTTGTCGCCAGCCTCCGTTCCCCCTCCGCCTTGCCCTGATCATCCTGGTACTTTCGCGTCTTCTACTCCAGCTTTTGTTGTTGCTGTTCGTCCACCACCTCCTTCTGCTCCTCCTCCTCCAATGTACGCATCTCCCCTGTTTCCGACCGCGCATGGTGGGATTTGCATTTGGAATCCCGGTCAGCTGTGACACGCGTCGGCGGATAGAGAAGAAGTCGGCGCTTTGGGAATGGAGGGGTGGGGGGAGCAGGATGTCAGATGTGGCGCGAGCGCACATCGCTTTGTGCAGGACGATCAATGGAGAGGAAGCATGTTGCCAGATAATTCCCGGATGTCTAAAGCATGTGTTAGACTGTTAGACATGTTTTAGATATGTAATCCGCATGTGTTAAGCATGGTTAGAACATGTTTCTGGCATCTTGCACACATACTTAAATTCAAGGATAGGCCTTTTCGAGTGTCAGCTGTCGTGGCATCCACAAACCTAGCTTATCCCTCCCCTCCCCTTCTCCCTCCCCTTCTCCCTCCCCTTCTCCCTCCCCTTCTCCCTCCCACCCCTCCCCCCCCCCCGTCTCCCTCCCCTTCTCCCCCCCCCCCGCCTCTCCCCCCCTCCCCAGCTCGCCTTCCCCCCGGCCCCGCCCGTCCCCCCCCCGACGTCCAACCGAACTCGCGGGCAGGGCTCCCTGGCGGAGGCACCATGGGGCCCCAGAGGGTTCCGCCCTCCCTGCGGGCCTCAGCCCGGTCCGCCTCCCTGCCGCGCGGCTGTCTTCCGCGAGCTCCACAGGTCAGGGTGAAGCAGCCGAACAAGGGCACGGACCGGAACTGGAGGGCCATCATGGCCCAGGCGGCGGCAGGAGGAGGAGGGGGAGGAAAAGGCAGAAAGGGAGCGAGGAAGAGGGAGGAAGAAGAGGCGGAGGAGGAAGGAGGAGGAAGGAGGAGGAAGATGAGGTGGTAGAAGACAGGAGAGAGGGAGAAGAAAGATGAGGGCGAGAAAGGCAAATATGATGATGAGGACGAGGAGGATAGACGCGGAGGAGAGCGGATGAGAGAGTATAATAGAGGAGACGGGGGGAGGAGCAGGACTGTAAAGAGAAGGGTAAAACAAATAGGAAAAAAAACGACGATAATGATGACGAGAAGGAAGGGAGCAGGGGGAGACATCTTCAGATGAGAAAGGGGAGAGGAGGAGGAGGAGGAGGAGGACAAACTAGGTGTGGCCGCGGGATGAGGAGGGCGACGAGTCGGAAAAGCAGGGACGACGAACGATAAGGAGGAGGAAGGACAGGGGGACAAGCGAGAGGGCATATCATGAGAGGAAAAGAAGGACGACGAAGAGAAGGGAGGAGGACGAGGAGGAGGAGGAGGAGATTGGATTAATGAACACATGATTGGTGATTGTCGTCGCGTCGTCCCAAGGCACTGCGGTGTTGCAGTGTTGCCGACCCCGTGCTGGCAGGCATACGCCTCGACCACGGCGTCGTTACCGACGTTGCTTTGACACTCCTTCGCGGACATTTGACATTTGCCCTTCCCTCCTTCGTTCCTAGCGTCGTCGTCTCCTGGGCCTGGAAGTTTGCGATGCGGATCTTTACGCTTGCATCACCTTCGTTCGCAACCCGCGGGCGAGGGCTGTTTTTTTCCTGAATCGCTTAATCGCGCTGAAAGACACCAAGTTGGGCTCCCACGCTTGTCGCACTGAGGGATTTGATTCAACCGCTTGGTCCACCCCGCAGACCCATTGTGTGTCATCGCTGGCACCTGCCTGCGTGCTCGTGGGGGCCAAGAAGGAGGTGGGTGGCGGCCGTTTCCCTGAGCTGTCTCGCACACCTCGCTCAGGAGAGAAAAGCAGTGGCAGGGCAGTTGAAAGGCAGCGATCCACGGATTACGCCTCACCGACGTCCCGTCTGAGAAGTTTTTGGACTTGAGAAAGCAAGAGCTTTCGGCTGCGAGCAAGGGGGGGAAGTGAGAAGTGAAAGGCCTTCTCAGAAGGTTCGAAAGTCCCCCGGCCCTCTGAGAAGTCTTCTGAGCCTTCCCCGAAGACAGGACAACTCTAGACGCTTAGCGTATCCCCACCAGCGGCTTTTGGCTGCGCCCCCCTGGTCCCTCCTCCTCCTCTTGACTAGGATCTGTGTTCAGCGGCTTTTGGCTGCGCCACCCTCTCTTCCCCTTCTCCTCCTCTCATTCACAACGTCTCTGCGGCTTTTGGCTGCGCCCCCCCGTTCAACAGCGTAGACTGCATCGGACGCAGAAGAGCGTCCGCCCTGAGACCTGCCCAGGGAGTATCGGTCCCTCGTTGCCGACCCAGCCATGGTTCTACTAAGTACGCCTTGGCACGTCAGCACGCAGCCAGCGAACGGTACAGCCCAGCAGCTCTGCTGAAGACCGCCACCCGTATGCCCTGGCGTCGGAGGCATCCGGCTTCTGCATGGGCAGCGTGGCGGGTGTTGAGGGGGTGTGGCTGTCCTCCATACACATGGTGATTGGCTTCGTCAGTGAGCGGCCCCACATCGAGTGGTACAGCCTTCCGCGGTTCAAGTCGTTTCGCTCTTCTCGGCGCAGCCACAGCCCCAGCCCTCGCCGGGACATTGCATCGTTGTGCCCCCGAACTGCGTGAGTCGGATACGATGTAAGCGGACCGGCTACCTGCTGGTTGCTGTCAGCCTCGTGCACGCACACCATTGGTCTCTTCTTACACATGGTGATTGGTTTCGTCAGTGAGCGGCCCCGCGTCGAGTGGTACAGCCTTCCGCGGTCCAAGTTCGTGTCGCTCTCCTCGGCGCTGCCACAGCCCCAGCCCTCGCCGGACAATGCATCGTTGTGCCCCCGAACTGCGTGAGTCGGATACGATGTAAGTGGACTGGCTACCTGCTGGCGGTTGTCAGCCTCGTGCACGCACACCAGTGGTCTCTTACTGTATGGTGCCCCGGCCCCTCAGTGACACCAGTGCACAGCGGCTTTAGGCCGTGCCCCCCTCCTGCCTGTGGCCCGCCCTGGTCCGTCGTCGACCCCGCCATGGTCCTACCACAAGGACCTCTTGGCACGCCGTCAGCACGCCGCCTACGTGCGGTACGGCCCAGCAGCTCGGTAGCCGCCAGCCATCGACTCGCCACCGGCGTCGGGGTATTCGGCTTCCGCACGGGCAGCGTGGCAGGTGTGGATGGGTGCAGCTGTCAGCCATACCCTCGGTGACCCCGGTGTTTGGCTTCGTCAAGTGAGCGGCCCTGCATTGAGTGGTTCAGCCTTCTGCAGTTCGTGGTCGTTCTCTTCAGTGCAGCCCTGGCTACCAGCCCTCGTCAGTACTTTGCACCGTTGTGCCCCCGAACTGCGTGGGTCGGATACGATGTGCACGCACTGGCTATCGGCTGGAAGTGGCTCAGCCTCGTGGACGCACACCAGTGGTCTTTCTCTACTGGATGGCGTTCTGACGCGGATCAGCCACACCTTAGCTCCAGAGAGCCTTGATGAGTCAGGCCTGTTTCGACGCACCATCGTTCACCCGGGGTACCGCAGTGAGTCTGAGGTAGTCGCTCGGGCTCGCACTCTCCCCCCTCTCCTTTTCCGAGGTCTAGGCCTGTCGCTAGGTGCAGCTTTGCAGTGCCTCGCCGTCCGTCCTGGCCTCGCCTCCGAATGTGGTTCGGCTGGAGCTTGGCGCCGGAAGGGCGACTTCTCCCCCCCGTTCCGCTGCCGGTCGCCGCGCCTCTGCGTCCCCACCTGTTGGGATGTCTGGGCCGGTCACCTGCCGACGCCGTGTGCGTCTCAATGAGGGTCATTTTGTCCCTGGCACGTGCATACCACTGCGGCCAATTTACATCGTACCGCACCCCGGACGTTGAACCCGCTCCCTGTCCCTCGCCTTGGAGCCGCGAACCAAAAAGTATCCCCACCAGCCCATCCAGAAACGATGTCCAGGCGAATTGAGAGGTGATCAGGGAAGTGCGGCAGCAAAGAGGGGGACGGCCGAACCGTGTGAAGGAGAGAGGGGGCGATGGAGAAAATTCGACGGATGGATGAGGGAGTAGGGAGAAGGAGGATAAATAGGAGGAGGAGGCGGACGGGGGATGAGGAGGATGAGAGCAAGCAAAAGGGCCAGAGGTCTCTTGGATGCTTCTCGGAGCCTCTTGGGATATCTCTTGGGCGTCTTGGGACGTCTTGGGGGGTTCTTGGCGGTCGTGGGGGGCTCTTCGGCGTCTTGGGTGCCTCGGGGGGGCCTCTTGGGACCGCATGGGATCCTTTTGGGGGCCTCCTGGGGGCCTCTTGGGGCCATCTTGGGGCCATCTTGGGACCTCTTGGGGCCCCCTGGGCGCTTCTTGGGGCCATCTTGGAGGACATCGATCAAAAAAGGGGATGGTCACAAATCGCGTCCCCCCCAGGAGGCCAAAACCATAGTAAAACACATGATGTTGGCTTCCTCGCCGGGGCCGTTTTGGACGCTCCGACACCTCGCGGAACCCTTTGTCCAGGTCCAGGGGAGGGGGTAGGGGGAGGGGTAAACCCTTCCCCGAAGGGGAAGCAGGAGGGGTGGAAGAGGAAACTCCCTAAACCACCGACGCCCATAGGGCTGGTGGGACTTTTCAGAAGGCGCGAGGGCTTATGAGAAGTCCCGCCGCCTTCTCAGAAGGCCTTCCCCTTCTCACTTCCCCCCCCTCGCTCGCCGCCGAAGATTGCAGGCATGGGCGCCTTCGAACTTGCGAAGGCAAGCGCTTCTGAAAGTGAGAAGATCCTGCAGCGCCATCTGAGGAGGGGGCTTCGGCCTGGCCGGGGGCGCTGTGCTGGCCCATTTTCGGGGTGCACTTTTTTGGGCAGCCGAGGACTTTTCCAGGGGCGGTATCGTGCCCCCCTCCTGTTTCACACTTACACATTGTGAATACTACTCTCCCCTCCCTCCCCTGGTTACGTCCGGGAAATCTTCGGCCCCCCTCCGCGTACGGTTTTTTTACACACAGGACTCCCAGGAGTTGGGTTTTCTTGCTTGTGTGTTGCACAATTATGTTATCGCTGGGGCGCTGGCCTCATTTTTGGGCTACCGCTCGTTCCGAGTCATGCTCCCGCTGCAGCGTTGGCCTCATTTCTTCGCTTCCGCTCGTTCCGAATCGCGCTCCCGCTGCAGCGTTGACGTCATTATTTCCAGCGCCATGCCACGGCATGTATTCCCGTCCTTTCAAATAGGCCCCAAAATCTAGAAAATACCCCCCCGAAACAACCGTCGGAAGTGATTCCATATTCGGTGTCGATTCGTTGATTTCTTGGGCCGCAGAATCAGAACCCCCCTCCACTGGGGCGTCGCCACGCCATGCTATGTCAGGCTGCGCGTCGATCTTCAACACCATGCTGTGCCATGCAATGCTATGCCTTGCTACGACATCCGACTGTGCGAATAGAGAGGAGATCTACGCCATGGTTGGGGATGGGAGGGCGGGGTCGGACGTCAGATACGACGCGAGCGCACCTAGCCTGTCCTCCACCCCATCTCTCCTCCCCCCTCCATCCTCCTCCCCCTCCATCCCGCCCTCACTCCCTCCTCTCCCCCCTCCGCTCCTTCTCCTCGTCCTCCCCTCTCGTGCAGTCCTGGGGCCGCTCCTGCCGGAGTGCCTCCTGGCCGATGCTCTCTTTCCGGATGCGCTTGGCCTGCGCCCGCGCGGAGCTCCTCTGCGCAGAGCCCTGGCCATGTCAAAGCTGGTGTTCCGAACCCTTTTGGCCTCAAGTCGGGCACGCCCCTCTACAGGAGGCAGATTCAACATAGTAAAACACACAGCCAGGGCACGATGTTTCTAATATGTTCGACTGCTTTTGAATATGTCTGGACTATGTCTGAGCTTTCGCACAAAATCCGCCTACAGGAGGACATGCCCGACATAACTCTAGCCTGCGGAAGCATCTTGGGAGTTGCCGGTGGGCTCTTAGGGGGCCATGCTGGCGGTCTCGGAGGCCTTCTCGGGCCGTCCTTGGGGGCCTGTCTGGTCGTCTTGGAGCGCTCTCGAAAGCACCCCAGGCCGTCTTGGGCTGGCGAGGCCCAGCAAACGCGACAACGCCCAAATCTTGCAAAACCCGTTCGGAAATCAATGCGTGTTGCGCCTGGGGGGCCTCTTGGACCGTCCTGAGGCCATCCTGGGCCGTACTGGAGCGTTTTGGGGCCGTCTCAAAGCTTTTGGAGCTCCCTTGGGGCACTCACTCCTGGGGCTGTCGCGGAGGTCCCTCTCAGGAGTTTCGGCACCTTTGGGGAGATCTTGCTGAGGCATTTTGGCCCCAAGTGACCTCCACGCGCGCGCGCGCGATCAAGCAACGCACCATCACTTTGGAACTCTCACTGAAGATTATAGGACGCCTTTCGCCCGTTCTAGAGCTGTCGTGCTAATGTAATTTATTATGGGCGTGAGCTGCAAGTGTTCCTTGCCCTGTGGAAGACGCCCCCCCTTCCTTTCAGGGGATAGAGCTCTGCGAGGGCGAAACGATATCACAATACAGACTGAGAGCCATGGTGAACCATAAGAGCCTACATACAGTTCGGCACAGTAGGCACATTGTGTTTCGCGGCCGAGGGTCCAGATTTCATGCGAAATCTCCCTTGGGCGTGGCCCTGGGAAAGAGAAGGCTCCTACGATCGACGCCCCCGCGAAACTCGCCGGTTGAGTGCCTGACTCATTGCAGGCAGGGTTCTGCAGACCCCTTGCTGGCCGCCCCCTGGGCGCGCGTCGCGAGGTTCACAGGCTCGGTGGGACGCGCCACGTGCTGGGCATCTCGGAGATCATCGAGGAGGGCAGCCGGGGGGGGGCCTGGGAGCGGGCCGGCCACGGCGCGGCCCTCTGGCTTCCCCGTTCTGGGGCGAGCCTGCGATCGCCCAGTTGCTGGCCCTCGACCCCCCTGCCTGCCCTCTCCCCGCCTTCCTCTTCCTCCTCCTCCTCCCCCACTTCCTCCTCCCCCCCTCTGTCCTCGATTGACCGCGAGAGGCCATACTCATCCAGCCACCAGTTCTGCAGAGACCAGGCCACGGGCGGTCGGGTACGGCGGGGCGCCGCTGAGGAAACACCGCCTCCAGCGACGCCGGCGAGGAGATGTTCGCGCGACGTGGCGGCGCGGCGGCGACCCCGGCGCGGGCGTTCAAGGTGAAAGGCCCCCAGCTGCCTGGGATCGGCCGGCATAGAACGATTCAAACTGGTGGAACGGCGCGATCGTTCGAGCTTGAACGATCCGCGCGGTATCAGAAGCCAACGATCACGTACGCGCCGTGCTAGTGGCCAGTTCTTCAAAGACCTGCGGAGCCGCTGGTGAAACAACGCTTCTCGGAAGGAGGCCGTGGCAGATGGAGGAGTGAAGAAGATTTTGAAAGAGGAGGCGGAGTAGGGAGGAGCAGGAGGAGGCGCTGAAGAGAGGAGGAGCAAGCTGGCGCTCTCGCGGCATGTCTGACATCCTACCCCTCCCACCCATCCCTTCTCATTGCGCTGTTTTCTCTATCCGCCGACGCGTGTCATATCGGACCTGGTACTCCAAAGTTGACCCTTTCGCCTTACGCGCAATCGGAGGAAGACGGGAGCTGCGTACATTGGAGGAGGACGTGGCGGATGAGCAGGAGGGTAAGAAGGAGGATGGGGAGGAAGGGGGCGGACGAGGACGAACAGCAGCAGCTGGAGCTGGAGGCGAATGAGCGGATGAAGCAGGAGGACCAGGGGAAGGCGGAGGAGTGGAAATGATGGGAGAGGTAACGATGGAAGAGGATTCTGATCCAGAGCAGTGATCCGAGCTGGGGCGAGATTGCCATTCGGAACGACGGGAGCAAAGCGCCGATCTGAAAACGAGGCCCACGCTGCGGCGAGAACCTTCCGAGACGGAGAAGCCATCGGATGGCGAGACCTCGAAGCTGCACGACTTCTGAGATCCTGTGTGCTGCGCGCGCGTGCGTGCGTGCGTGCGTGCGTGCGTGCGTGCGTGCGTGTGTGTGTGTGTGTGTGTGTGCGTGTGTGCGTGTGCGTGTGTGTGTATATGTGTGTGCGTGCGTGCGTGCGTGCGTGCGTGCGTGCGTGCGTGCGTGCGTGCGTGCGTGCGTGCGTGCGTGCGTGCGTGCGTGCGTGCGTGTGCGTGCGTGTGCGTGCGTGCGTGCGTGCGTGCGTGCGTGCGTGCGTGTGTGCGTGTGTGTGTGTGTGTGTGTGTGTGTGTGTGCGAAGCTCCTGGCCGTAGCTGCTGCACGGCCGTGCGCTCGCGGTCGCGCGCTCCAGGGGAGAGCCTCCCAGGGGGGAGGCCAGGCTCCTCTGAACAGCCGGGTGCAGGCGCCCCCCCCCTCCACCTCCTCTCCTCCCCTCCTCCTCCTCCTCCTCCTCCGCTCCTCCTCTTCTCCTCCTCCCCCTCCTCCTCCTCCCTCCTCCTCCTCCCTCCTCCTCCTCTCCTCCTCCCTCCTCCTCCTCCTCCTCCTCCTCCTCCTCCTCCTGCTCGGACCGCACGCGTGGGCGCTGGGGGCTGGTTGTTGCACCGTGGGGGCCCCGAGGTCGGCCCCAGGGCCCCCGAGGCGACCCGAGGTGGTCCCCGTCGTCCTCGTCACCCTCGCCGTCCTGTGCGCCGTCCTCTCTCACGAGCCCCCCATCGACCTCACCACTGGTGTAGCTCGCCTTCTTCTCCTATTCCTTTTCGTTTTCGCAGTATGTTTCGTATTATTCTTCTCTGATTGGTATTATCTGTGTTCATGTTCTTTTGTTTATTCTTATTGTTTCTTCTCGTGCTCACTATTAGCAGTACTATGGTTATCCGCAGCCCTTTTCCGCCTCGCTATTGTGATCTGGAGTCCCTCGTCTCCATGGTCCTCCCCCTCCCCTTGTCCTCCTCCCCCTCCTGTGCTGCCGAGCTGCCCGCACCCGTGCCCCTGCGCCAGCCCCGTCGCGGAAAGGTCGACCTCCTCTTCCTCCGCCTCCCCCTCGTCGGCCCTCCCGCTCGTCCCCCCCTCCTCCACATCCTCTTCCTCCTCCTCCTCCTCTCTCTCCTCCTCCTCCTCCTCCTCCTCCTCCTCTCCTCCTCCTCTCCTCCTCCTCCTCCTCCTCCTCCTCCTCCTCCTCCCTCCTCCCCCCCCTCTCCTCCTCCTCCCTCCTCCTCCTCCTCCTCTCCTCCTCCTCCCCTCCTCCTCCTCCTCCTCCTCCTCCTCCTCCTCCTCCTCCTCCTCCTCCTCCTCTCCTCTCCTCCTCCTCCTCCTCCTCCTCCTCCTCCTCCTCCCCCTCCTCTCCTCCTCCTCCTCCTCCCCTCTCCTCCTCCTCCTCCTCCTCCCCTATCCTCCTCTTCGTCCCCGTCATCCTTCTCCTCCGCCTCCTCCTCCTCTTCCTTCTTCTGGTTCTTCTCCTCCTCCTCCTCCTCATCCTCCTCCCCCTCCTCCTCCTTCTCCCTCCTCCTCCCTCCTCATCCTCCTCATCATCATCATCATCACCCCCCTCCTCCTCCGCAACCCAGCCTCTCCTCCCCTCCTTCCTCCTCCTCCTCCTCCTCCCTCCTCCTTCCCCCCCTCCTCCTTTCTCGCCCTCCTCATCCTCATCCTCATCCTCCTATTCCTCTTCCTCCTCTTACTCCTCCTCCTTCTGCACATCCTCCTCCTCCTCTTGCTCTTCCTCGTCTTCCTTTTCCGAGTGTGAGAGAGATATGTACCATCTTCATAAGCACCATCAGCATCATCATCACCACCATCGTTATCATCATAATCATCCACATTGCCATCATCACCAGTCGCATCACCACCACTTACAACACCAACACCATCATCAGCAATACCAGCAGCATTAACAACGGCATCAGTATCAACAGCAGCAGCAACACTACCAACAACAAACTAAACAACACCACCAGCAACCACATGAACACTACCAGCATCTACAACAACAGCAGCATCACCACCACCAGCAGCAACCCCAATAACAACAACAATTTCAACAACTCGCAGTTCAAGGCTGGTCGCTCTTATCTGCTCGCGGGCCATTCGTCACGTATGTCTCAAACCCTCGGTACCCGCCCTCCTCGTCTCCGAGCGTAATGTCATTCCTTTAGTGGCGGTCTTTTTCTTGCAATGCGCAACGTTGTCGCGGATAACTCCAGGAATGCGCATTTGATATGCACGGGCGTCATCGGTATGCAACACAGCGCTGGTATTCTCCAGAAGTTTCCTGGCAGTTGGCTTCCAATCCCGCCTGCGAATTGGCCCTGTCCCTGGAGCGCGATGCGCGGCACGGATCATGTCCTTAGCCTTAGCTGCTCGCGTGCGAACTTCTCAGTGCCAATCGATCGGTGCGTAAAAATTGGATCTCGGCTTGTGTTATGATATCATCTAACCGATTTGATCGGCGCTCGGCGAGATAGCGGGTCGGCTGCCTGATGACATCGTATTGCAAATCGATCGGGGCGGGGCCTTCGCAGTCAACGCACATTCGATCGGAATCGCCCGATCGGGTCGGTTCTCGGCGAGATCTCGCCTCGGCAGCAACGCAAGCAACGAACACCAGAGTGGATTGCGCGCGGGGACCCGAGCCTGACAAGCACATGAGGCGCGCGCTAGTCAGCACCAGCGTATGCGGCCGACCGCGCTCGACGATTCCTCCCCACTGCTCCCACTGAACGGGCTTACGTTCGTCTGTCGTCCTCCAATCGTCCTCTTTGACCAAGTCGACTTCGTCGGCCCCGATGACTGGCCATCGTCGGCTGCGCCAAAGCGAATTGCCCTCTCCTTTTTGAGCACGTATTCCAACCTCGCCCCATCCAGGCGCAAGTTCGTATTCTCAATGAGCTTGCTGCTGTGCCCTGTTGTGGCGCTTAGCCTGAGAGAGGCCCCGCGCTGCGCACGTGCACGCGGCAGCCTTATCCGACAGCGATATTGGCTTATTGCCCCAGCCAGCCCTAAATACTGGGTGATTGTGCTGCGGCGTCACAAACATCTGGCATCTTTTCCTGCTGAAGCGGTAAACGCTACCTCTGCCAGACACGCATCGCAAGGGCCCGTGGCGCCCCGCCGCGCACCGTGGGCACTGTTCGCCAGCCCAATCGCGACGATGGCCACTCCGCGTCAGCATGCGTGCGAGCTTGGCAGCGGATGCAGTATACATGTCTTTCAGAGCACAGATGAGATGCATTTTCATTTGCCTTGATGTGACAGTCCTTTGCCCGTGGCGAGCATGCGGCGCGAACGGGATCTTGGGCGCTCCAGGCGGCTTCTTTGTGACTTGCATAGCCATTCGGGCGTTCCCTCGCTTGGGCGTGCAAGACTGAAGGGCAGCGGGCTGCTTCGCGCCGCACAGCGAATCGAACCCCCCACCGCCAATGGAGCCATCCGACCCGCTCGCCGTTCTAGTAGACGACAGCGACGAGGCAATCTCTGAAGCAACGAATGCAGTCTGCCTTCCAGCAGCAGCAGCCGCTAGAATCTCGTCGACCTCGGGGATTGAAATGAGCTCTGCCATGACGCTGCGGAAGCAGACGGCCGCGTGCTCGCCGATGCGCAGCGCGCGCGCGGCCGTCGCCGTCGCCCGCCATGAAGAGGCCGGCGCTGCGCGAGCGCGAAGGCGGACAGCTCCCCGCATGGCAACCGAAAGGGCGCAGCATGTCGCAGCCGTCCTGGAGATCAAATGCAGGCGCGCCTTCAAGCGAGAGGGACGAATGAAGCGCCGCGCGCGTTCCCCCGAGATTCAGGAACGACCGCAGCAGCCTCGTCGCCGCCGCAAGCTTGACGGCGCGGCGGCGCCATAGCTCTGTCCTGGGCGACCCAGAGCGGCCCGCTCCGTAGAATGTCAACTGCAAATCCAAGGTCTTGAAAAGCTATAGCCGCACGCGTGTCCACGTTGGGAGCGCCGTCTCGGTTGCGGGCGCAGCGGGCGGCGTCCGCCACAGCCGCTGCGAACTCCTGCCCCGCGAGAATCCCATGTTTCCTGCGGTCGTTGCTGGAGCGGGCTCACTTGGAGGACTGATCCCCCAGCGCGTCGCAATCGGAAACAGCGCTGGCGAATGTTTCCCTTCGGGCGCGCGCGATTGCGTCATGGAGTTCGACGTCGGCGCAAACGCAAGCGGGAACGAGAACCTTTTCAAGTTCAAGTTCCCGCGGATAGAGAGCGAACCTTTGCAAGTTCACCTTCCAGCGCAAGCGGGAACGGGAACTTCTCCAAGTTCACGTTCCCGCAGATAGAGAGCGAACCTTTTCATGTTCACCCTCCAGCCCAGGCGTAGGCGGGAACGAGAACCTCGTCAAGTTCACGTTTCCGCGGCTAGAGAGTGAACCGTTTCAACTTCACCCTCCGTCCAAGCTCAAGCGGGAAGATAATCTTTTCAAGTTCACTTTCCCGCGGGTCGGGGCGGCTGGGGGCGGCCGGAGGAGCACGCGCGCAGCGTCGTTCGCGTGCTCCGGCTCCCTCAAAATTGGCAACGAACGCGAATGATTCCCACCTCTTCATAGCCTCAAGAAGCCCTGGTGGGCAGCGGAAAGCGTTTACAATCGCGAAGCTTGCGCGCTCCCTCCCTTTCTCTCTCTCTCTCTCTCTCTGTTTCTTTCTCTTTTTTTTTTTTGTTCTCTCTCTCTCTCTCTCTCTCTCTCTGACTCTTTTTGTGTGTGTGTGTTTTTTTTTTTTTCTCTCTCTCTCTCTCTCTCATCCGTTGACAAAAGGTTGTGTTTTCTTGCAAGGTTTAAAACGATTTCTTTTGTGAGGGTTTACACATTGATTCCTTTTGTGGCGGGTTCCAAAATAATTGTTCTGTGGCGGACTACACATTGTTTCTTTTTGTGGCGGATTACAAAGTTTTTTTGGCAGATCACAAAAGAAATATTTTTTTGGCGGATTACAAATTGATTTCTTTTGTCGGATATGTAGGAAGAAGCCAGGAGGGGGAAATAACAAAAAGAAAGTATTAAAACCTGTAAAGAGTTTTATGTTTCAATGTTTTTGGTGTCGAATGTTCGGGAAAGCGATGGAAACACAGAGTTGTCAGCATCCGGAGCTCCAAAACGCTGTGCCTTACAATGTTTTTGTGCTTCGGTATAAAAACAACATTGTGAAACGCAGCGTGTTGGAGCTCAGGATGCTAAAAACTCTGTGTTTTGACAGTTGCCCCGAACATTCGGCGCCAAACACATCGAAACACACATTTTTAACACTTTTTATTGATTTTGTTATTGTTTTTTCTCCGTTTGGTTTCCTCCTGCATGCCCCCACAAAAGAAATCAATTTGTAATCCGCCACAAAAAGATTCCTTTTGTAATCCGCCCCAAAAAAAGAATGTGTAATCCACTTCAAAAAATGCCTCATGTAATCCGCCACAACAAGAAATCAAGTTGTAAACCGCTTCAAAAACATAAGCAATTTTGAACTCGCAACAAGATGGCTACATTTGAAATGTTGTGCTATGCCGCAACAGGGTTCAATTTGGAATTCGCTACAAATCAAGAGCCCCTTCAACTAAGTGCCCTTTAACTAGGTGTCTTCGGTGTAAGGGGATGCGAAAAAAAGAGGGGAGGTAGATCACGGGGAGTGTGTGACCATATATATATATATATATATATGGAGGAAAGGAACAAGCGGGTGGGAGAAGGATGGAGCACGAGAGGGAGCATGATAGCAGTCAGGGGGGCTAGCAGCAAAATGCACGTGGCAGAACCAGACTGGAAGATCGGGCGGATTGACACTTACGGGCGGGTCGGGAAGGATGGCCCTGGCGGCCAGGTCGAGCAGGCGGGTTGCTGATGCGTGCGTCCTGCATGAATCTCTTCCGGAAATCCACAGCGAGAGCGTGACGCTTGAGTGTCGAGGGCGCGGCGCTCGAAGAGAATGGCGAGGAAGTCCCACGCGAGAGCGCGATTTCTGCATAAGTGGTGAGGAGGTCCCGCGCGGGAGCGCGATTCCGGAATCAATTGTGAGCACGTATCAGGCGAGAGCCGTTGTTGTGGCACTTCGGGGCCCAGCAACGCAGTTTGGTGACCCTTCGCTCTCCCCTGTGAAAAACCGGGTGCGATCCCCAGGAGAAGCACCCTGATTAGGAAATCAACGGCTACCGGGAAGGGGGGTCAACAACATGTGTTTTTTTTGTGGTTAGAATTGAGCATTCAATCAACAACAACAACAACAACAACAACAACAACAACAACAACAACAACAGTAGCAATAGCAATCATTTTAATACAGTTCCCTCTTATCTGCTCGCGTGCCATCCAACACGTATATCCCAAACCCTCTATACACACCTTCTTCGTCTTCGGCCGGGTAACTTTGGGGGTATATCTCTTTTACCTGCAACGTGCATTCCGTGCAGCACCTAAGGCAGGGGAAGAGAGGACGGATGGAAGGAAGGGACAAGGGGGAGAGAGGAGGATGGAACACGAGAGAGAGAGAGAGAGACAGAGAGAGTAAGTAGCAGGAGCGGGGCTGGCAGCAGAAAACACGTGGCAGAATCAGACTGGCAGATCGGGCGGGTAGGCCCTAACAGGCGGGCTAAGGCGGCCAGGTCGAGCAGGCGGGTTGCTGAAGCGTGCGTCCTGCAAGAATCGCGAAGAAGCTTGGAGCGACAGCGCGATTCTATCATGAATCTCCTGAGGAAATCCGGAGCCAGAGCGTGATTCCTGAATGTCGAGGGCGCGACGCCCGAATCAACGGCGAGGAAGTATCTGGCGAGAGTGGGATTCTTCGATACGTAACAAGGGAGTCCCTTGCAAGAACGCGATTCTTTGATACATTGTCAGGGAGTACCAGGCGGGAGCCAGGGACGCAGTTTGAGCAGGAAGAATTTCCCGCTAAAAACAGCGAGCCCCGGGAGGCGCACTTCAGTTGTAAAAACACTTATGTTACGCGAGTGCGTGAGCCCTGCTTAATTTGCCAAGGAATTTCGGGCGACAGCGCGATTCCCAAGTCATTTGTTGGGAAGTCCCAGGCGACACCGGGATTCCTGAATGGCGATGGCGTGGCGCCTGAATCAATTGCGAAGAGTTTACAGGCGAGAGCGCGATTCTTTGGTGCATTGCAAGGAAGTCCCTAGCGAGAGCGCGATTCCTCAGCACATGAAGTATCAAGCGGGAGCCGTTTTCGTTGTTGTTTTAGACCGGGGGCCAGGGGCAAAGTTTGAATCGGAAAATTCCCCCTGATAAAAAAAGAGGGTGCGAGCCCTGGGAGGGGCACTTCAATTGAAAAGCACATATGTTACCCGAGGGGGGATCAGCAATATTTGGTCTTCAGCACTGAGAGCTCAACAACAACACCATCAACAAATCAACAACACGAACAACAACAATAGCAGCAACAGCAACAGCAACAGCAACAGCAACAGCACCAGCACCAGCAACATCAGAAACACAAAGAAGAGAGACGCTCCCCCACCCCTCAAAGTCTCGGCGCGCGACCCCCTTTCCACGAAGGGTTTCCCTTGCCACGCGAGCGACGGAAATAACGGGGTCGTCTGCTCCGACATCGGCGCGTCACCTGCCCGCGTAAGGTCGCGTGTAAGCGCCCACGTCCCCAATGAAGCGTGCAAGTCTGGCGGCCCGCGCAAGCCGCCGCGTAAGGTCGCAACGACATCGTGCATAAGACCTCTTCCTCTCAGTCGTTCATGTGCCATGCCAGAGGGCAGCGCAGCGCGGGCGGGCAGGGCCCCAACGAGTTCTACATCGCCCGCCGCCCAGCAGCCCCACCGGAGGGCCGCGCCGGGCAGACGCAGAGCGGCCGAGACGGGAGAGGAGACCGAGGAACGGCAGCAGAAGCCCCATCCACGCCCGTCCTCCTCACCCTCCTCCTCCTCCTCCTCCTCCTCCTCCTCCTCCTCCTCCTCCTCCTCTTCTCCCGCCCCTCGCCCGTCCTCCTCGCCCTCACGCAGTGCGGGCCACGGCGGTCTATCCGCGAAGCCCGCGCCGCGCCGCGCGCGGCCCGCGCGGCGCAACGCACGGACCCCAAGCCCCCCAGCCCGCGGCCTCCGAACAGCCTCGGAAGGGGGATGGTGCCTCGAGAAAAAGCCCCAGGATCCCGAGGAAGCCCCCGCCAGGCGGGAAAGAACGAGAGCGGCCTCAGAGGGCCTCGGAGCGAGGGGACGGTTGGGGGTCACGAGAGCCTGAAGGGGGCGCGACAGCGTGGGGTACGCGTCGGCCGTCACCCGATACCACGGGTCCTTTGCCCCCCCCCCCCGCACCCCCATAGGGGATGACGACCTCGAGCACGCAGTAGCGAAGCTGGGGTGGTGGGAAGGGGGGACGCCAAGGCGCACATGCACGTGCGTCCCCCCGCCCCCCAGGCAGGAGAGAAGCC